GAATTCGCCCGGAGAGTGAGTGGGGAGTGAGAGCTTCCTTGCCGCCAGGCACAATGAACAAGGCTACTTTGGCGGCGTTCCAACAATGCCATGCGGGTGTCCAGATTTTTTCTATCGTGTGCACACTGACCACCCAGACCCACTCTCAGATGTAGGCCTACCAGCCTTCTCGCGCTAAATTTGATGCCACTAGAATTTTGGCACAAATCTACAGTTTGGACCCTCAACGTAAAGCTGTAGATCTACGGCATGGACCCTGAAAGGGTGTGCAAGGCAGGTATACAATACCGACAAGATGAAAGTTAAGACACTTGTGCAACATCTGGTTATCTTTATTGTAGACATTTCGCCATCCAGTGGCTTTATCAATACAGATTCTTGGACATAATTAGAAAACAGAAGAATTATATACAAAAGATGAGGTAATCAGTCCCTCAGCCTTGGAGGTGGTGTTTACAACCATGGTGCTGTAAACACCACCTCCAAGGCTGAGGGACTGATTACCTCATCTTTTGTATATAGTTCTTCTGTTTTCTAATTATGTCCAAGAATCTGTATTGATAAAGCCACTGGATGGCAAAACGTCTACAATAAAGATAACCAGATGTTGCACATGTGTCTTAACTTTCACCCTGAAAGGGTTAAAAACACTGGAAATTTTGGAGTGTCCAGACATAATGGAGAGACTTAATGCTTACGGATCTCACGGAGAATGTAAACAAACTGGGTGGGGTGCGGTGACCGAATTAAAAAGTCAGGTAGGGGGAGCCGTATAGAGTTTTGGTCATAATTTGAAATGACCGTATTAGCGGAACGCTGTAAAGTGAAATGCCATAAAGCGGGGCCCTACTGTATTGTGTCCAGACCTACCTCAATAACTGTGGTGGTTTCAGACGCCTTTAGTGCTTTGCAAGCTATCGAAAAATTTAATTCTCCTCATCCCCTAGTTCATCGAATAAAACTTTGGTTACACCGCATTTCTAACAAAAACAAAAATTATTTTCTGCTGGGTCCCTAGTCATGTTGATGTTTAGGGCACTGAGCAGGTGGACTCCTCTGTGTGGTCAGAAGTACATGACCTTCCCGTTTCATATAGGGGAATTCCATTTTGAAACTATTTTGCTGTAATCTCTAGCCACCTTCACAACCATTGGCAACAACATTGGTCTGAGTTGATTCATAACAAATTACATTCTATCAAGTCATGTTTGAGACCCATCTTTGCACTGGGCACACATCTCATTCATGGGTATCTGAGAATTGTCAGATTCCAATTTCAGTTTGCCATATTCTATTGGGCTATCCTGTCTACAAGCGAGCACGCATAATTTACCTACAAAGTCGTCACCATTCCAACACTCTTACTTTATCTTCCCTCCTTGCTGACTGCCCCACCTTTGATGCAAACTCCCTCTTTCACTTTTGGACAGCAACAGATTTATTACACAACCTTTGATTATACTTTTTTTATCACTCCTCACTGCCCTTTCTAATTCTACCTGTGTTATACTCTCCACCCTTGCTACTCTCAGATCAAACACATTAAACAGTTAACACACCCTACATTGCAGCACTGTGAGGCCCTTGTGCATTTAGTGCTTAGTTTGATTATAATATTAATTACATATACAGTGGACCCCCGGTTAACGATTTTAATCCGTGCAAGAGGGATAATTGTTATGCGAAATAATCGTTATGCGAATGAATTTTCCCCATAAGAAATAATGGAAATAAAATTAATCCGTGCAAGACGCCCAAAAGTATGAAAAAAATTTTTTTTTACCACATGAAATGTTAATTTTAATACACACAAACTGAAAAAGGCATGCACAATTACATGACACTTACTTTTATTGAAGATCTGGTGATGATTGATGGGATGGGAGGAGGGGAGAGCATTATCTTCTTACTGTTTAGAAGGGAATCCCCTTCCATTACGACTTGAGGTAGCAAGTCCTTTTCCGGGGTTACTTCCCTTCTTCTTTTAATGCCACTAGGACCAGCTTGAGAGTCACTGGACCTCTGTCGCACAACAAATCTGTCCATAGAGCTCTGTACCTCCCGTTCCTTTACGATTTGTCTAAAATGGGCCACAACATTGTCATTGAAATAGTCACCAGCACGGCTTGCAACAGCTGTGTCAGGGTGATTTTCATCTATAAAGGTTTGCAGTTCAACCCACTGTGCACACATTTCCTTAATCTTTGAAGTAGGCACAATGGATTCCACAACTGGCATAGGCTTCTCAGGGTTAGCCCCAAACCCTTCAAAATCTTTCTTAATTTCCATACTAATTCTCACCCTTTTTACCACAGGGTTGGCACTAGAAGCTTTCTTGGGGCCCATGGTCACTTATTTTCCAGAAACAGCACCGAAAACACTGTAATAATACGAAATATTCCGAGTGTATGCTTGGATGTTACCGCGGAGGCTGGCTGGTAAACAATGGGACGGGCGGCACATGTGAGGGCACATTGGACGCGTCTCGGACGAAAATCGGTGAGCGGGTTTTTAATCGGTATGCGCGGCAAAAATTTTGCGATAAAAGTAAGCGGTATGCGGAAAAATCGCTATGTGATGCCATCGTTATGCGGGGGTCCACTGTATATTGTTCATCCTAGGTAGTAGGTTGGTAGACAGCAACCACCCAGGGAGGTACTACCGTCCTGCCAAGTGAGTGTAAAACGGAAGCCTGTAATTGTTTTACATGATGGTAGGACTGTTGGTGTCCTTTTTTCTGTCTCATAAACATGCAAGATTTCAGGTACATTTTGCTACTTCTACTTACACTTAGGTCACACTACACATACATGTACAAGCATATATATACTTACATACCCCTCTGGGTTTTCTTCTATTTTCTTTCTAGTTCTTGTTCTTGTTTATTTCCTCTTATCTCCATGGGGAAGTGGAACAGAATTCTTCCTCCCTAAGCCAAGCGTGTCGTAAGAGGCGACTAAAATGCCGGGAGCAAGGGGCTAGTAACCCCTTCTCCTGTATATATTACTAAATGTAAAAGGAGAAACTTTCGTTTTTCCTTTTGGGCCACCCCGCCTCGGTGGGATATGGTCGGTGTGTTGAAAGAAAGAAAGATATATTGTTCATCTCCTTATGTGTTAAACTCATTCCTGTGCACGGCAAGGCTTATTCCAAAACTACCAGAAATCTGAGTGACAGAATATACATTTTGCTCATAAGTTTGTTCTGCTACAGATATGGAGAGTCTCACCTAGTTCAAAGTGTTCCATTGACAATCAAAGCAGCACTCTTCAAATTATAAGCTTGATACTTTTTGGGGATAAGTAACTATATCCTCCTGTTCAGTATAATGTCAGGCATTGGTTTGTAGACTTTAAATGTTGAATTGAACTATTTATTTGTACATAAAAAGTGAAAAATTTTTGGAAAATATTTCTCATACTGTCTTTCAAGTTTCTCTCAGGCTAAGCAATAGCAAAATAATTTGTCACACCCAGAGTGACAAAGTCACACTGGGTGTGACTTTGTCAATGGTCCAAGTCGGACCGAAATGTCGTCATAAGCTTCTCTCTTTTATGTGTGGGTTATTTGTGTATTGTTCCAGTCATGGTATTGTGCCTTTTTTTGTTATTAAATCCTTGGTGTTTGCCTCACTGTTTTCTCTAGTTGGCGTTCAATTTAACAGGTGCTCCCACTAGGTACTAAGTCGTCCCAGATTTTTTTAATACAGTGCACACCAAGTGTTAAGACATTCATTGCTGACCAGGCATCTCAGGCCAATTGTGCCAAATTTAGAGGCAGGAAAAATAAAATGTAAATATATGTTTGGGGCACTAGTGGTAAGAATGTATATATACATTTGGACCGTTTACAGGTTAATAAGATCTATAAGATCTATTGCTAATTATTATTACATTCAAGGGGTGTTAAAACCATATGGTCCATACAGTGCCAAGGGAAATGGGAGGTAATTAGGTTCAATCCAAGAAAGGATAAGTTCAATTACTTGGATCCAGAGCCCTCACTGGGATCAAGAACTTTCCATGAGGGGATTCACTGCTAATAACCCAATTCGTATATTTCACTATCCACATTCCTAGAACATGGCCAGGTGGAGTAGATTCACTATTTTGAATCAAACATGCCAAATAGTTAATATAGTGAACATTAATTTTTTTTTGGTAGCCATATATTGATTTTTTTAACACACCAGCCATCTCCCACCAAGGCAGGGTGACCTGAAAAAAAGCTTCCACCATCACTAACACTGTCACTGTCACTGTCACTGGTGGTTAACGCTCTCGCTTCACACGGTGAGGGCCTGGGTTCGATTCCCAGCCAGAGTAGAAACATTGGACGTGTTTCTTTCCACCTGTTGTCTATGTTCCCCATCAGTAAAATGGGTACCTGGGTGTTAGTCGACTGGTGTGGGTCGCATCCTGGGACACTGACCTAAGGAGGCCTGGTCACAGACCGGGCCGCGGGGGCGTTGACCCCCGGAACTCTCTCCAGATAAACTCCAGATAAACAGTTCAGAGATCCCTCCGAACTGCAAATATCGCCACCTCAGAGTGCAGGCACTGTACTTCCACCTCCAGGACTCAATGAGTTCAGCTAACTTGTTTCCTTGAATCCCTTGCTCACACTCCAAGAAGACATCAAATCATAAAAAAAAAAAAAAGCCTCTACTCACTCCTAACACATGCAGACCTGTTGGATGTCCAAGCCCAATCAGTGTCTTTGTTATTAGATGTAATGGTATTGGATGTCAAGGTCTTGAAATTCTAGCTCCAGTTAGCAGCAACATGTTAATTAGGTACAACCGTGCAAGACTTCATTCCAAATGTAAATTAGTAACGCTTGTCAAATATTGTACATCTTGAGCCTAAATCAAATGTATCCAATTCTTTAAAGGCAATGATTGATGCACTGAAGCGTTTTTAGGTACATTGCTGTCAAAACAAAACTTTATATATACTATATCTATCTTGTCCTCACTCTATTCTTTTATTAATACCTACTTGTTGCTTCTAGTGTCCCTTAGCTGAAGGAGGCAGGTAGAGACATTCTCAAGTGTCCCCAATTGAATGCCTAGTGACTTTTCAACCCGCTTTTTTCTTCTCAATATGGACAGGGCCTGCAAAATATTACAATTAAAACACTAAAGAATAAATAAAAATCAATTACATATAATTTAACCTTTTCAGGGTCCGTGCTGTAGATCTACGGCTTTACATTGAGGGCCTAAACCCTAGATCTATGCTATGAGCTCAGCTCACTCTGATAAGCTGTGAGCGGTAAATTTGGGCCTAGATATGAGAGAATACATCTATGTGATATGTGTGCACCACATAAAACAAATTCTGCAGCACACAGTGCATAATGAGAGAAAAAACTGAGACCGTAATTTTCGATTAAAACAGCAACTTTGCATTGTTTTTTTTTTTTTGTGTGTGTTTTTTATAGTTGTATTTGCAATTTCTTGGTCTCAATTGATAGAATGGAAGGTATATTACAGAAATAGAGAAGATTTTGACTGATTTTAGTATTGAAAATGGCTTGAAAGTGAGCTCAAAGTAGCGGAAATGTTAAATTTTTGCCGATGTTCAAGAGTAAACAAATGACCTCACACATCTAATACACGCCAGCTGGTGGGTCTAATATATGTTCACAAATGTGCTGATATTATTTATACAATTATTACAATATTGCATGACATTAAATCTTCTATATTTTGGTTTGAATAAAAATTCATTATGTGAATTTAAAATCAAAATGGAATTCGTTTGCAAAGCCTGAAAACGTAACTAATAAACAGAGGAAATGTTAGTTTAGTGGCAGGAATACCTGCACTGTTTATTCTGGACCCTATTTTGAAATTGGAATATTTTGAACTTTGCACTAAATTGGCCAAATTACCATTTTCCAATCACTTTATTTTGTAGCTGAAACAGCCAAGTTGGCAATTTCTTGTGCTCAATCATTAGAATAGAAGTAATACTAGTGAAATAGCTAAGAATTTGATCGACTGAAATAAGGTAATTGGCCTAAAATGGGAGTCAAAGTCGGCAAAATAGCCAATGCGTAAATATTGCTAGCACATCAAAATTCGCGAGAGAATAATTTCGTCAATTTTCCATCAAATTTCGTACTTTTTGTTTTATTACCTTCAGAAAAAGATTCTCTACCATTTCATAAGAAAAAATAACAAAATTATTTTTTGAAAATTCTTGGACACTGGTGCACACTTTGAAATTTGGCCTCTGGACCCTGAAAGGGTTAAAAACATCATACTTATACAGTAGTAAATTCTAGGCCTAACAGTAATGAAGTCCTGAGTATAAACCAATAAACTCCACATATAGTGATATGTGCCACCCTTACTAGTGATCAGCATGTTGTTATTGCTTTACCATACAACTTTGTGCAATAATTGGTGCAAAATTACAGGTTTAGTACTTTTTTTTCAATGAATCCTGTAAAAATGACAAAGTGTCCTGAAAATGTGGATAATTATTATATTTACTGGGAAATGCTAGCCCCATAGAGATCATACAGCATCTAGGAAATAAGCGTATCTCCAACTCTCTGAATTAAGAGCCATTAACCAGCATTAAAGGTGAAGATGTGGAACAAACAATTTAGGTTTCGAACAGGGGCATAGTGATGCCTATATTATTATTATTATTATTATTATTATTTATTATTATTATCATATTCCTTGGGATGTACTAAACCCATAGGGGGGAATATATGTCTTTTGTTGAGTAGATGATTTAGAGGTGGGATGCTGAAGTAGATTACTCTTCTTTACTCAAATTCTCTCTTATGAAATGCAGTCCATGTGACCATGCTATTTCAATAGATTTTTCCTATGTGCTTCTTCAGTGTCTTTTTGTACAACACTTTTTACATTTTAATTCAATTTATGTCTGAGAAACTAAGTCTTGTATCCATACATAATAGGATATTTCTAACTAAAAATGCATATATTTGCTAAGTGATATGCTATTAAATTTTTCTTGGTACAGTTATTTTTGTTTGTTAATTTATGAATCAAGCTTAGTTAAACTAGGCTAGAATTATGAGGTCTACTAATTAATTTATGATCATTAAAGAGGAAATCAATAATAGATAGCTATTAGGTACAAATTTGCCAGTTTAGGGTGCAATGATTTACTAGTGAAAGAAGCAACATTTTCTACTTAATTTAGGAAGCATCTAGGGATTTATTTGTCCAAGGTATACAGTAGGGCCCCACTTATATGGCAGGTTAGGTTCCAAGCTACTGCCAGAAAGTGGAATGCAATTTTTTCCACTTATAAATGCATAAAAATGCCAGATAACAAGTTTACACTAACATATATTAAGTTAGCAATAGAACTAGGCATTAAAAACAATAAAATATAAAATACACACACATTACACCCATTACTTACCTTAAAATATTTGTAGTCTTAATGTAAGGCGAGAGGCGAGTTGTATTTATTTGTAGGAAGTCAGGTGTGGGAGTATGATAGTCAGCCTGGCCAAGCCACTCCACCCCACCCACACGTAATATACACTATGACATTTAAAGCGCCCCAGAGCAATAAAATGCATATACAGTACATTCATTATTTTTTTTTTTTTTTTCAACAAGTCGGCCGTCTCCCACCGAGGCAGGGTGACCCAAAAAAGAAAGAAAATCCCCAAAAAGAAAAGACTTTCATCATCATTCAACACTTTCACCACACTCGCACATTATCACTGTTTTTGCAGAGGTGCTCAGAATACAACAGTTTAGAAGCATACACATATAAAGATACACAACATATCCCTCCAAACTGCCAATATCCCAAACCCCTCATTTAAAGTGCAGGCATTGTACTTCCCATTTCCAGGACTCAAGTCCAACTATATGAAAATAATTAATTACCTTAAAATATTTGTAGTCTTAACCCTTTCAGGGTTTCCAATGTACTAGTACAGCTTATGTGCCAGGGTTTTTGACGTACTAGTATGCATAAATTCTAGTGCCCTCAAATCTAGTGAGAGAAAGCTGGTAGGCCTACGTATGAGAGAATGGGTCTATGTGGTCAGTGCGTTCAGTATAAAAAAAAATCCTGCAGCACGCAGTGCATAATGAGAAAAAAAGCTTTGACCGTGTTTTTGGTTTAAAACAGCGACTTTGCACTGTATTTTCGTATGGTATTTATTGTTTTACGTATTCTAGTTTTCCTGGTCTTATTTTATAGAATGGAAGGCATATTACACAAATTGAGATGATTTTGATTGGTTTCACAATGAAAAGTACCTTGAAATTGAGCTCGAAGTAGAAGAAATGTTCGATTTTTGCCAAAGTTCAAAAGTAAACAAATCATGCAATGCGTCCAATACACGTCAACTGGTGAATCTAATATTCTTTAACAAGTGCGCTGATATTATTTATACCATTTCTACACTAATACAGTAGTCTGCATAACAGTAAATCTTCTATTTTTTTGAGAAAAATTCAAAGTGGAAAGCAAAAGAAATAAAAGAGGGGGCCTGGGGATGTGACTAATGAACAGAGGAAATGTTATTTTAGTGCCAGGAATGTCTTTCTTGTTTATTCTGAACCCTATTTGGAAATTGGCATCTTTTGAAATTTGTGTGAAATTGGCAAAATTGCTAAATTCTGACCACTTTATTGGATAGTTGAAATTGGCAAATGGGTAGTTTCTTGTACTCATTCGATAGAAAAAATGGAGTTCTAGCAAAATAGTTATGATTTTTGTCGACTAGTACACTGGAATTGGCCGAAAATAGGGCTCAAAGTGGGCAAAATCGCCGATGCGTAAACATTGTCGAGACCGCTAATTTTGCGAGAGCATAATTCCATAAATTTTCCATCAAATTCCATACTTTTGGTGTTATTATGATTGGGAAAAGATTCTCTATCTTTTCATAAGAAAAAATAATGTTTTTTTTTTTAAATTTGGCGACCCTGAGAACAAGTCTGGAAGAGGGCCTGTCGACCCTGAAAGGGTTAATGTAGGGTGAGAAGTGAGTAGTATTTATTTGCAGGAAGTCAGGTGTGGGAGTATGATAGTCAGCCTGGCCAGACCACCCCACCCCAACCACATGTATTATACTATGATACATTTAAAGGACCCCAGAGCGTTAAATTGCATATACAGTAGACCATTATTTAGCACGGTAGTTACGTTCCTGAAAAAAATCGTTAGATGAACTGAAGAACTTAAGGGAAAAATAGGGTTACATTCCCAAAAACCCGAACAACTTTTTTTTAGACCTCAACATCTTACAAAAATAAAAGTGAATATGTAGTTTTAGTTCATTGTTGTGATGTGTTATGTTGTTTTTACTGCTTAAGACTACAAATGTAACAGAAATAATAGTATTTCTTACCTTAAATTGTGGGTACTGGTGATTGTGGATGACTGTGAAGAGAGTGGAGAGATATGCTGTGGGCCTACTGGGCTGAGGTGGATGGTAGAGGTTCTGGTACTGAAGTCGATGGTTGTACAGGTCCGCCATCACAAATCCGGCAATCAGTTATTCGGTTCCTTCAGTTATTCGGCACTAATTTTGGCTAGCATAATTTCAAATTTCCAGGGTCGCCACACCAACCTGCTGGTACTGTTTGGTGGCGCTACTTGCTGCATCAGTCATTCCAATTTCTTTTTCTCCATTTATTGTTTTAACCTTCTTACTTTTATCCCTAGCCATGGTTCCAATGAATAAAAGAAATGCTTCTCATTATGTAAAGCACTTACACAGTACATTATCCATTAAAGATAAGGTGGGTTTGAAGCCACTCTCGGCTGCCATGAGTTCAGTCTCATGAAGCATGAGAATATGCTTTATTATTATGCTAATATCAACACTACAGCTTATTTGCCTATCACAATTGATCTAATATGACATAAGAAACAAAATAATTAACATAAAACATGTTAAATACTCCAGAATGAATAATATTTGGCATAACACCGAGCAGTTCGACAGAGTTATGAAGAGGATATGGTAAACAAATACCATTCTCCTATCCTTGTCTTGGTGGCTTATATTAGAGAAAACGGAGTATAGCACAGGGCTAACTATGATATACACTCGTACTCTACCATAAACATGAAGCAAAAAAAGTTATTT